CGCGGGGTTGCGGGTGCAGGAGCGACCGGGTGTCGCTGCTGCCGGCCGCCTCTCGCGTGCCCCTGGGGGTGGCGGCGGACAGCGCAGCCCCTGGTTGTTGCCGGTTCAGTGATGGACGGTCTGAAGGAGTTCTCAGAAGCCGTGTCGATACTGAGTGGGTGAAACATTAAAAAGCTCCTCTTTTATGCCAGTTAAAACCACGGTTGTGTATTTGCGTGTGTTAGCTGGATGCTTCATTACATACTTAGACACAGTGAGACAGCGGGTCAAATACAATGAGCGCAGTCCCAGCAGACCACCAGGCCATGGTTAGCAAGGAAAGTAAGCATAGGGTCAGCGCCCAGTTAAGCTTCCCACCTGTGTCCTGCAGTTCGGGATGTGGGACATGGCCATGGCTTCTGCAGGCAGTGAACACCTGATGTGCTGTTTGTTTGCTCCTCTATACATTCGCCCAGCTCATTACTTTAATCGCTCCAAAGTTATACCCTCCTGGAGACTCTTAGCATGGAATTGGATTTTTCAGTTTTATTTGTGTTTCTTTTTATTTGTCACCAGCTAGTATCATCTGATGTTTTCTGGCATCTGTATTGAAAGATAAGTAAATAATTGTTTTTTCTGTACACTGTCAGAGCCCGTCAAGATACTCTAAAGTTGTGTTAGATGCACTGACTTCACTGCAGAAGAGTTTAGCTTTCATGGCTGTTTTTCATTTGGAAGGTGTTGTGGGTATGATTAGTTTGGCCCTTTTCCTCTCTACCTGCAATTTGGTTTAGTTCCGAGCTCTAGGGCCCGTGTCTTGTTTCTTTACTTCAGTTAGAGGTGTGGTGTTCAGGTGTTGCAATGAAAGCCACTGTGAAAGAGTATTGCTTAGCTCGAGATAAAAGGCTCATATTTTGTGTATCGACCAGAAGCCGTTGGTGCCTTAAAGCTGATGACCACTTTCTGAAGCTGAAGTATTGGACTATAATTTAATAATTTCTGTTCCTGTGGCCACAGTTTAATCATTGAATGCTGGTAAATCATAGCTAAAATAAAATAAATAAAAGGGTGTGGAGGAACTGTCTTATTATAGTAATATTAACTGTATTATATATAACTATTATCTGTTATTAGAGTTTGTATCTTATGACATTTTTAGTCATTTGAATACTAAAGAAATATAATTTTTTTTTGTAATTATAATCTTAGAAATGGCTGTCCTTACATGCTTGTATCTGTCCAGTAATTCTTGTCCTAATTTGACATACAGAATTTTTCAGAAGATTGCTTGAAGCTTTCTAGTCTGTAGCAGTAAGAAAAAATGTTTGCAATATGAAAAATGTTTTATATCCTGTATGGAATACTTAATTCTATCTTGATCTTAAACAAATGTATCTTCTATGTATACTGACTAATATTGCTATTGAGACAGTGGAATTAACCCTTAATAGCAGTATTTAGAGATTCTGCTTTGAAGTTAGTACTGTTTAGCTGCATGGTCATTAATCTATAACAAAAACTTATGCCTTAAAAGCGCTTTCTGAAATTTACTGGGATACATATATAAGATATGCAATAGCAAAAATATTTAGGAAAACACATTTTTATTTTGTATTCTGAGGGGAATTTAGACTTTTGGCTGAAGTAGCAGAGAAGTTCTGTTTCCCAACTAGTTCTGTATGTTTCCCTTTATGGTGGCCCAGGGAGTATCCAAGGCTTTTGGGAGTCTGCAGACCCTGACACTACAAAATTAAATTTTAAAAGGAAAACAAGATCTTTACAACAGTTAGTGCTTGAAGATCAGGCCTTTTGTGTTCTGGATATACCTGTTTGTGTGGGGAGAATAAAAATGTGGGTTTGTTGGTTTGGGTTTTTTTTTCAGACCCTTATTAATTCAGCTGTACTTAAGCAAGTAGTGAGCATCACAAGACGTCAGTTTTTTAGCTGCCACATTAAGGACGTGTAAATGCTGTACAATGTATAGGAACATTTCCATGTTTTGGGTATGCATATTGAATTGACATAGCGTTGCAAAATCAGTTATACATTGAAAAAATTTTATATCTTTTTTCCCCTTTTTTATTTTACAGAGAAATTTATCACATAAAAGAAATGATTGAGTCAGTCAAATTAAGAAGGCAGTGCATGCTGGATTTCTACTCACATTATGAACATCTTTGTGAACTTCAAGGCTCTGTCCCACTGAAAGCTGTGAAGGCTAACCTGACTCAGAATGCTATTGATCTAATTGTAGATCACATCAAAGCTACTGACTGGGCACCACTTCTGAATGCTATTAGGCATAATAAGACTCTGACTTCTATTGGAATAAGAAGTTTACATCAACACGGTCTTGAAGAATCAGGTCCATAGTGATGGTTATAAAAGTTAAATATTTTGATGTATACCTGTTGCAATTTGTTGCATAAAGCTTCTGTATGATTGAATACATGGGGGGAGGAATTGTATTGCCTAAGGAATTATTTCTATTTAAGAAAATATGGAAAGAAAAGCAAGGTGTGATTGTGATTGCTTTTAAGCTAGTAGAGACTTGATTTTACTGATATGTAATTTCTATTGTTTACTAGGTGTTGAAAGATATAAAACTTACTTTAGAAGGAGAACTCCAGCAACTCTGTCAAAAGACTTAACTGGCCAACTATGCAAAGCTGTGAAAGGCTGTCTTAGTATATCAGATGTACTAAAAAATTTAGAACTGCAGGGTTTGCTTCTGAGGGAAAGAGATCTAACACTTTTAACAAAGGTGAGAATATATTAGTATACAAATAGATGACACATATGCCCAGAATAAAGAATAGTAGCAACTAAATTTTCTAAGTATTTGTCACAGACAGGGATGGTTTTCATCTAAGTTATATATGTGTTATGCATAATACAAATGATTCTGTTGAGATATTTACTATAACCTAGTTTTTCCAAATGTTTCAAAATCACTTTCATCAAGCCGTAGTGGAAAGATCTTAGCAACATCTCTGGTATGTGTTTGAGGCATATAATGTATGCTTTTGACTGAAATTACTGTGCATGTACATGATAGAAGGAAAGTTGTGGGACATCAAGGACATAAAAACTGGTCTTCAAGATGTATTACTGGAACACTTGAACTTGCTAGTGAGTGGCTTCTAGGAAAGGAAGTTCCTCTTGTTCTAAAGAAATGAACCAGCTTTAACTGAACTTAAAGGTTTGTGTGTTTTGACCTTCCTCTGAACCCCTAGAGTTTCTTGTAGGGAGCACAGAGTTTGTGTGGTTTAGGTTACTTGGTCTTTTCTCTTTTTTTGCCTTTAAAACCAGTTGACAATATTGTTTTATTCTTAAGGGCTTGGCCACAGCTTCATCTCTGGAGAGTGTCTCTTTAGCCCACTGTCCAATTGGAGATGGAGGGTTGGAAAGTAAGTTCAGAATCAAAAATGTGTAAATATACTTTTCTCTTTTTTTTTAGTTTCCAAGTAGGTCAGCAAGTTTTTCAGTATTTCCATTCCTGTTTTAAATTTGTCTATAATGATTAAAATAACAATCCTTCCTTTATTCTACATGATTAACAACTTCTAAAGACTTAAATTTCTTCTCTTGATGCTAGTAAATAGCCATACTACTTTATAATGATGTTTTTACTTGTATTTAAAACAGTATTTATATTTCTTAACTCTTTCCTGAGTTTACGTAAGTAAACTGAAATAAAATATGTTCTAGGTTGTTCAAATACTCTTTTCTAAACATTTGCATTAGAAATGTATAAACCTAGAAGACTTTATTTAAAATATACTTCTTACATAACTCTGTTTCTTTGTCAAAGCTTTTGCCTGTTAAAGCTGATTTAGCCTCTTAACAGGGCAGTGAAAAACTGTTTTGATAATCTGGAAGTCATGTGTGTAGATAACATGCATTCTTTTTTGTTCTTCAGCAATCTGTCAGAGTATAAAGAATGCAGCTACTATCAGATCTGTAAACTTCACAGCATGTAGCCTCACATGGCGAGGGGCTGAACATATAGCAAATGTATTAAAGGTAATTTAATAACTTTCTTAGAACAAAATGTTCACAAGAACTTAATATATTTGATTTTTTTCTTTTACTTTCAAGTTCTAAATCCATTAAAGCACTTTGTGAGGAGCATATGTGAGTACTGAAGTGTACAGTCCTTCTGAAAGCTGTGACTTTATATGCCGAAAGTAGCTTGGTTTACTAATGTGGGATTTAAATATTTCAAGTATTCTTAAGCACTGGGTAAAAATAATTGATTTTACAGTTTAGAAGCTACTGATTAACTAACAGTAAGTATGTGACTAGTGCAATATTCTAATTAATGTTAACAGTGGTTTTTGTGAAAGCACAGAATTTTGTAGTATGTATGCATTTCCTGTTCAATGTGTTGAAAGTGTCTGTCTGCCAAAAGAAGGTAAAAAGATATTTTGTTGCAAAGTTTAATGATTTGTATTGCAGACTGGGTAATCTGAACAAACATGAGTTAACTGTAAGGCTTAAAAATTACTTGCATTTCTTGAACTCCAAAACAGTATAACTGTTTTTCTTTATATCAGCACTCAAGCCATTGAACATGAATTACAAAGAACGATAACTTGTCATCTTTTCATCAATAATGGCCTTGGCTTTGCATTTGTTAACAGTTTCTTTGTTTGCAAAGCACCAGGCAATGAGAAGACATGGTGAAGCTTGGGCTGAAAGCCTGCGTTACAGGAGACCTGATCTTGAATATATGACGGGCTTGAGACGGGTTACTTTGAACTGCAACATGCTTGTTGGAGATAGAGGAGCAAGTGCCTTTGCAGACTGTCTAGGAGAGGACCTTTGGCTGAAAGGTATTGCAAAATAGACTCTTAAGATATGGTAGTGGCAGGCAGAAAACTTAAAATTGTCAGTTATAACAATTGCCGCCAGAAGAGTAAGTCGCTATGCATTTGGGAAAGAATACTCTTTTTTTCAAAAGAATTTTCTCTTTCTCTTTTGAATTGCCAAAGTATCCAAATACTTTTGTGTCTTCTAGTATTGTTCTCTAGTATTTTGGAGAATTAATTTGTTCTACATTATATCTGTACAAAATTACTAAAGGTGGTGGTGTAAATCATAGCATTCTGTACACGGAATCAAATACCTGTTGAAACTGTTTTATAGTTTGAGGCAGGTTTAAGATAAGATGCGTACTGATGGAAGAGGATCAGGTTAGAGAATACTTAAACAAACTGGACAAACAGTTGTCCATAAGTCCTAATGGGATGCATCCACAAGTGCTGAGGGAGCTGGCTGATGTCATTTTAAGGCCACTCTCAATAATCCTTGGAAGAGCATGGTGATTAGGAGGACAGTGCATAAGCACAGGAGGATAGCTAATGTCACCCTTATCTTTGAGAAGTCTGGGAAGAAGGACCCAGGAAACTAAAGGCCAGTCAGCCTTACTTGGATCCCTGGGAAGGCAGGGTTGGGATGCCATCTAGAGGGACCTCAGCAGGCTGGAAAAGATGCTGATGGGAACCTCACAGAGTTTAAGGAAAGAAAGTGCAAAGTCCTGTACCTAGGCTGGAATAATCCCATGCACCAGAACATGCTGGGGTCTGTATGGCTGAAAAGCAGCTTTGTAGAAAGGGTCCTGCAGGTCGTGGTGGACAACAGGCTGTCCATGAGCCAGCAAAGTGCCTTCATGGCAAAGAAGGCCAATGGTATCCCAGAGTACAATAGGGAAAGGCTTGTGAGCAGGTTGAGGGAGGTGATTCTTCCTTTTAACAAAAGTGAGGCCACATGTGGATTCCCTAATACAGGAGAGAACTGGAGCTACTGAAGAGAGTCCAGTGAAGGGCCACTAAGATGATGAAGGGACTAGAGCAACTCTCATTGCAGAACAGGCTGAGGAAGCTGGGACTGTTTGGCTTGGAGAAAAGATGGCTCAGAGTAGGGTCTTACAAGGCATAAAAATATATTGGAAGGGAGGCTGTAGAGGAGTTGGAAACACTCTTTCTGGTGGTACTTGGTGACAAGGCAAGAGAAAGTGGGTACAGATTAAAACACAGGAGGTTTCTCCTGAATGTCAGGAAACTTTGTCACTGCGAGGATGTCCGAACACTGGCACAGGTTGCCTGGAGTGGTTGTAGAGTGGTTCATATTACTTCCTTTGCAGTTGTTAACAGTTATTTAAGTTGATCTAAAATACCAATTTAAATTTTTAGTTTTCTTCTTTTAAAGTAATACTCCTGTTTTACACATGGCTGTTATCATGTCCCTGTTTCTTATGCTTCATGTTCTATGAAATGGAGATTTTCAGCAGGTGTGGGTTAATTTTTTTAGATATTGACTATCAAATTGAATTATTAACTAAATATCACTAGTGCAATGAATTTTATTTTTTTTTTACCTCCTTAAACATTTCAGCACTTGATTTGCAGCAGTGTGGAATATCCAATGAGGGAGCAAGATCATTATTAGATGCTCTTCAAACTAATACAACATTAGTGGTACTTGACATAAGAAAAAATCCATTAATAGGTATGTATCTGTGTCTGCCTTTGTCTTGTTTGTGTGGTGGTGTTTTGTTTTTTTTTCTTCTTCAGTAAGTATATGTGGAAAGGTAAACTGCTTTTAAGAAATAAAACCATGCCACAGTAATTCGCTAAACATTTTTAAAATGAGGGAAACGAGAAGGGTAGGTAATATATACTGCTTATTCAATGATCTCTTTGTTCACATAAAGAGTTGTCTCATACAAAGAATTCTTAGTCATGTATTTAAATTCATTCTAGGTCACATTCTGATGAAAAACATTATTGAAAGAGTTCTTAAGAACGGAAATAGTGCTAATTCAGAGGTACGTTTTACGGATTTTGGAATGAGTTTGGGGTTTTCTTTGCAGCTGCCATTGCATTTTTTTTTTTTAAAGGACAACTTTGTTCAAAATGAATCTAAAGCAGCTATTCTAGTTGTAAACAGAAGTTTGACTTTTAGGCAGTTTAAAAACCAACAAACCCCACTATGTTGGGAAAAACAAAAACACTATCAGCAACATGATATTGTATTGGGCTTTTGTATGGTTTCTCATGGAATTTAAGGTGTACCATGTAAAAAAACCAGAATATACATTTAATGAAAAGAAAAATGGAAATGTGTGTGTACATGGGCATTACTGTAGAACATTAAATAAATATTGCTGCTGGAGGGCTTTCTACTACATGTGTTCTTATTAACATGGTAATAATAAATTTTCATTAAAAGTAAAGGAAACTGCAATTTAAAATTCAAAACTTAATTTATTTTGAAACTTACTTCATGTCACTAGTTTATATAATTAAGATTTTTTTTTTAAGTTACTCAAGGCTGTCCTTTCCAATGCAAACCATCTAAGAAAACAGAGTTCAGTTAAAGTGCAGTACGCCCTTTCATCTTTATCTAGCAGTCCACAGAGAGTTCACAGTAATGTGCATAAACTGAATATCTGGAGTATTTATTATTAGATACACTGTTTAAATACAAAGAAACCTGATTCAGCTCCCAAAGGAGACAGGAAAGAAGTGAGTGTTCTTTATTTCACAGAACTGCAGCTATCCCAGTTCTTGTTCTGGAACTTATTACTCTTTTCAGTTTGAAAAGACTTAAAAGTCAGGGCTGCGGATCTGTAGGGAGTATCTAATAATCTGAGAATTTGTGTGTAAAATTCCTTGAGGATTAGTACAGTTCCGCACTTCAATCTCTAGAAGACTTCTTTTGAGAAATTGACCTTGGTTGTGAAGCTCTATCTTCTTGGCAGATGCAATCAATACTTGCAAAATGTTGCAGGGATCACATGAAAATTGCATCTCTGTGGAAAGTCAAACCATGAAAAGAAGCAGCTCTGGGGAATCTCCCTTATACTAAGAGATAACTCGACTCAAGACATTAGTTTTATATTTTGCCACTTAGTGCAGTATCTAAAGTTTTACTGGCAATTCTTCATATTTCATTAACAACATGAATGAAGAAGTACTGACCAGCAGTCAGTACTTGATAAGCATCTTACTATTCCACCAGTCCCAGCAGTCTTTCCATCCTCTTTTGCGTAAAAACTGGTTGTTTCTCTTTGTTTTTCAATAGCATGTAGGTGATTGCCTTTTGGGTTGGGTTTTCAGGTTTGCAAGAAGAGTTAGTTCCCTGCTGCTAATTTATGCCTTTAAATTTGGTGGGCAGCTAAAACAAAAGAAAGTTGTATTATTTTAGCAGCACTGTGTAGCAGTATAATGAATTGTGGATATGACTGAGTGTAATAGGTGGTGAAAGTTTGTGGAGTTTCTGAGAGACTGAATAGGTTAAAGGAAAAAGCCATTGAAAGTGTGTATCAGGGTTGAGTGGCCAGGTTTTGGTTTGGTAGGGGTGGCTTCTGTGAGAAGCTGCTAGAAACTTCCCCCATGTTTGGTAGAGCCAGTGCCAGTTAGGTTCCTTGATGGACCTGCTGCTGGCCAAGGCCAAGCCAATCAGGAATGACAGTAATGCCTCTGTGATAACATATTTAGGAAAGAGAAAAAAAGTTGTGTGGCAGATGAAAATTGCATCCAAAGAAGAGCAGAGTGAGAACATGAAGAACTCTGCAGACACCAAGGTCAGTGGAGAAGGAGTGAGAGGAGGTGCTCCAGGCAGCGGAGCTGAGGTTCCCCTGCAGCCCCTGGTGCAGCCCATGGTGAAGCAGCTGTGCCCCTGCAGCCCATGGATGTGAAGAACAGGGATGCATAGATCCACAAGCAGCCAGTGGAGGAGACCCACACTGGAGCAGGTGGATGCCTGAAGGAGCCTGTGACCCTGTGGGGGGCCTGTATTGGAGCAGGGTCTTGGCAGGGACCTGCTGACCCAAGGGAAGAGGAGCCCATGCTGGAGCAGGTTTTCCTGGTAGGACTTGTGGGTGGCCCTGTGGGGGACCCACACTGGAGCAGCCTGTGCCTGAAGGACTGCACCCTGTGGAAAAATGACCCACATTGAAGCAGTTCATGAAGAATTGTTACCTGTGGGACGGACTCAGGCTGGAGAAGTTCATGAAGGACTGTCTCCCATGGGAGGGGCCCTACAGGGAGCAGGGGAAGGACTCCCCCCCCGAGCGGCAGCAGAAAACAACCTGTGATAAACTGACCATAGCCCCATTTCCCATCTCCCTATGCCACTGCAGAGGGAGGAGGTAGAAACTTGAGAAGGAAGGAGGGGTAGGGGAAAGGTGTTTTTAAGATTTATTTTACTTCTTATTCACCTCCCCTGATTCTGTTAGTAATCAATTTAATTAATATCCCCACTTTCAAGTGTTTTGCCTGTGATGGTGGTTGGTGAGTGATCTCTCCCGGTTCTTATCTCAATTCATGAATCCTTCGTTATATTTTCTCTCCTCTGTCCAGTTGAAGAGTGAGAGAGTGGCTTTAGTGGGTACCTGGTGTCCAGCCAGGGTCAACTCACTACAAGGTGTCTATAAAACAAGCTGCTTTCAAAACATATTCTTAATATTTTGCTGTCTTTATACTTGGATGCAACAAAAGCAGCAGGCACTTAAACAAGAGACAGGTTACTGGTCTAGATGAACTTTAGGGTTAACCTAGTAAAGCTGCCCTTTTATGTGTCTTGTAAAACAGAATTAAGATGCTCTTAGATGTTTACAATTTCATTTTATTCTTTGTCTGTTTTCAGCTTAAAAAGAACAATTCATTGTCTTGAGGAGCTAGATGCAGCTGTAGACCCTGCAGAACTTACCCAAGGATTATTTGAATACCAAGTGAAAAAAAAAAGTTTTTCTTGCCAATGATAAATTTGGACTAAATTTGGTTGGTTAGAGCACAGTAATAGCATTTTAATCTTCCTGTGCTTTAGATGGGAATAACTTTGCTGTACAATTCCTCCTACTCTGATGTGGTGTTTAAAGCTGAGAAAAACTTTGCGTTAATGTCATCTATATTTCCTTCAACAGCTTCTTAGCAGTAGACCCTGTATTAGGGATGCACATTGCAAAACAATTGCAGTGTAATTTAAGAGTCTCTACCAGGAGTAGTGAAACTTTTTATCAGGGCAAAGGGAAGCTTTAAGAATAGAGCTATTGCTGTAAGGAAATGAAGTTTTAGTACAGCTGTGGTCTTTGATCATCACTGTGTCTTAATTTTAGTTTGAGGGCTTTTACTTTGTAAGGATGAATTTTCTTTACAAGGCAGTGAAAATACAACGTTGTATTTTTTGAAATACTGATATTATTGGTAATGCAAAATTGTGCTAGGGAAGCTTTTATTACTCTGGAGAACTTTGGCCTGAGCCAGCCATTCCTATCAAGCCAGTTTTCTGAGAATGAAATGCAGAAGCCAGAGTTGTCTCTTTATAGGGTTGATGCTGTGGGGTTTATGCTATAAAAGATTATAGGGTTGATGCTGTGGGGCTTTTGCTATAAAAAAAGTGTTTTGCACAGGAGATAGGAAAATATCAGATGGGATATTATAGTTTTGTGAACACTTTCTGATAATGTAGCACTCAGACTTGCATCAAATCTATGTTTGAATTTAGGCTTTGTGGGACTTCTGGTTTTTTTCCTAATTTTACAGTTTATTAAAGTTTTCTGTAAGTACCAGACAAGTATATATGACAAAACCCTCTCCTATTTTAAATAAGTACCTCTTTAGCTATCAGTTACTAAACTGATTTATCTTTCTTTAAAAAAAAATTCCAGTATAGGTGGCTGACATCTCCATCTTCCAAAGATGCTTTGAAAAATAGATCAAAGAAAAGAACTATTGTCCTAGGAAGTGGTCGGAAAGGAAAAGCTACTATTCGTATTGGTAATACCATCTTTATTTTCTCTGACTACAGTAAATTTTGTCAACAAAATTAATACTTAAGAGCTTTAATTGTAAAATATACAATGTTAGTGTTTTACAGAACACTTGTCTCCAAAAAAATTCAATTTATTATTAATTCAGCAGTACATCTTCTATCATCACTGGTATAGGAAACTTGCTTTTGTTTTTAGTGCTGCTAGATAGTGGCTGGAAAAACGGTAGGACATGCTGACTTAAATATGTGGAAGAATTGCACGTATTTATTCTGAGTGCATCCTCTCCACAAGCTTTCACTTCTGCAAAGCTTGGCTGTAGTAAGTTGCCTAGTTCTTCTGCTGTTGTAACCTTTCTGTAGCAAGCTGTCCTCTGCCAGAACAAACAAACATGCATTTTTTACTGATGTACAAAATGTTCTAAGATATTTTTTTAAACTTCATGTAAACCTATTATAAATAGTATGTTTAAAATAAGATAGGTATCTTGAATATTTATAATTTAGTACTGGTAGCTGCAATACACTTTTTCAGTAAGCTACTAAAAATTTCAGTGTAATACATTTGACTGTCTCTCATCTTTGCTCTAGTTATCTGGAAACAGAGAGGTAAGCATAAATCAAATTGAAGTCTTTGTACAAATAAACTGTGGTGATCAGGGTGGTGGAAGAAGAAAATGCTTGACATATATAGTTGTGGTGGTGTGGGTAGGGGTTTTTTGGTGTGGGGTTTTTTGTTTTTTGTTTGTTTTTTTTTCCTTCCTCTTTCTTTTTGTTTTTTGGTGTGTTTTGGGTTTTTTTTTTTTAAGAGAGAGAGGGAGTCAGGAGGTGAAATCTATCTTGTTTACTATTTTGAGACAGAATTGAAATTTTGAATCCCCTTACCATAATTACACATGTCCATACCATTACAGAATCAGTTGTTTTATTGATCTCAGAGAAATAATAACCCTAATTCCGCTAGTTAACCTGTATGAAATATTAGGTGAACAAATTAAGTTTTCTGGACTTGTTAGTTTCTGACTTAGCAACCTGAGTTAAGAGTGATCATCCACATTAGGTTTCTTTTCTGAATCTACTTCAATAGCATATGATTTAAACAAAAACAAAAGACTGGACTGGTGAACATGACTTTTTTCATTACTCGTTCTCTTAAGTGAAGAGACTGCCAGTGTTAAGTACAAGCAATCCACAAGTGCCAGCTTTATTTTCAAGCATTTTGCCCACAAATAAACCAATGTTCTTCACACTCAAGCCACTAGAGGGAAGTTTGAAGCACATAGATAGTTATAGATAGTTTTATTGTCTACATGGATTGTCTCCCATGTGAGCCAATGGAATTAGGTATCTGAAATTAGTAATGTTCATAAACCTCTTCAGCTACAAAATTTTACTTCGTTTTTGAATAACAGCTTGTCTTAGCTGCATCAGCCTAATGTAGCAGTTAAGTACACTGGCTTAAAATTGCAAGTTTTTGGACACTTTAGCGTAGTTAGACTGATTGGCAGATTTCCTACTTATTATTAATAATAGTTCTTATATTAATAGTCCCTGTTATTACACAGGAGATGTTACTTAGGAAGAGTATGCTGTGAATTTGTATGTAAATAATTAGGTATAACGAATTCTCTTTTCTTCTAATCTTGCTGTTCAATACAGGACTATTGTCTAAAAAATCGGTAAGTCCTGGGAAAAAAATTACATCTGTGAAAGAGAGTTACTCACCAAAACCACTACCACCAGGCACAAAAGGCTTCCTTCCTTGGCGGACTGCAGAACGTGCAAAGAGATGCAGGTGAGGTTTTCATAGTACAAGGGAAAATAATAAAGCATAAAACCAGCATGATAAATATAGTAGAGAACAGTGTTAGTCTTTTTAAAATATTATTTGAAAGTTACACATATAATTTCATATTGCATTCATAATTTTTCTGTTTATATAAATTTTGGGGATTTTACATAAATTCTGTTCTAGTAAGTATTTAAAATACACAAAAATAAATGATGGCCATAGGAATATTCAGATGTAGCAAAAAACCCCAGCAGAACCAAGCCTACCTTGCCTGCTTGTTCTTTTGTTAATAATAATTTATCAGATGTATCATAGCTGAAGGTGCAAGTTAGTGTTGTAAACTTATAGTATACTTGATTTGGCATTTGATGCCTAGGTATTTCTTCCACCTCTTCTTTCTGCTTCATTTCCCCCAATACAAGCCTAATTATTGTGATCATCTAAGTCAGCGACTTAAAATAAAACTAAAAAAACTTATGTATGGAAGCTCTCTTTTGAAACAGCTTTTGTTTGGGTTTGTTTGGGTTTCTTTTAAATCTATACCCTAGACTTTGGCCGTGCAAAATGGAGACTATATAACTATTTAAACAAAAAAAATTCCTTAATGCTCTATCATAACTGTAGTTATTAAACTTATTTTTTAAAATCCTGAGCACCAAATTCTCCTCTTGACTTTAGTTGAAAATAATTAACTAAGCAAGATGCCTACTGAAGATATTAATGTTAGCATCCAGTAATGTTGCTCTAAATCATGATTAGGTAGGGGGTGCTAATAGAACAAAGTGAGGATCTAATGAGGGTTAAAGGGATACAGTGCAGTGTCTAATGCTGTTTTTACTCTTGTGCTTCACCTGCCTTAGAATCTTGTATTTGGAAGTGATTGTAGCAATCGTGACATTGCAAACTTACTTTCTCAGAAGTGTTTTGTTGGGTTTTTTTCCTAACTGTAGAGGTGGGGCTCTGGATCGTACTGGAGAATTGCCAGTGGAGATTCAGGTACTGTTTCTCTCATAGTGGTTTCTTTAGTAGGTGAATGCCAAAAAAAGATGAAAATGTTCTTTCTCAACAGAATTTATTGTCTAAAAGTTAAGACTGGAACATACTTTTAAAGATAATCTATGATGGAAGTGCAAAAAAATAGTTTACATCAGCATTTGGTTGAAACTTCTTTGCTACTTAGTTTACTTCCATTTCTGTCTCTGTATCTTTTGGTTTCCTAGTCATATGAGCAAGCTAGGTTGGAGTATGGGCACAATCCCTTCAGAGGCAATAAGGAGGATTAACAGCATTTTTATCTGAAGGCTTTTGCACCATCTTTTCTGTCTTGAACTTGGATTACTTACTTGTGTTTGAACGGGTCTGTGAACTGCTCCAGTAAACATACCAGCAGGAGAAGAAAAATCCCCACTTTCTTCTGTCTCCTTTGCATCTCATTTCCATCTTCCCTCCTACCTTGCCCACTGTAGAATAGCTGGAGAAGTGCATTTTTGTATACTAGTAAATTAAACTGGCTCACAGAAGGGTGTGATGGCTGCTCACTTATACCCTGCTCTGGCATAGGGTTCCCATGGACTGCAGTGCTTTGGGAAAACCTGCAGTGCCACAGGATTCCCATGCACTGCAGCTCCTCTGATCCATGTCTGCTCTGACATGGGTCTTGCCTGGCTGGAGTGAGGGTATTGGCTCCACCACAGAGCACCTCTTCCTGCTTCTAGTCTGCTTTTCCCTCTGTTTTTTCTCACTCTCTTTGTTCCCACCTCTTCTTCCTGTCTGGCATTTTTTGCCCTTTGTTAAACCATCTCACCCCGATGCTCAAACAGCTTCACTGCTGGGCCCAGCTCTGCCCTGTAGTGGGTCAGATGGTACCAGGTGTCTGACATGGGGTAGCCCTGGCTGTGCCTCACGGGGACCCTGCTGCTAAATCCTCACCACATGTACCCAATATATGCACACATAGGATTGATTTTTTTTAATATTGTTTTATGCAAATTTATTTCAAAATGATATAGCTGGACAATGTATATACATTGTCAGGAGCTCTAGGAAACAACTGTATTTAAATTAAGCTTTTGATACAATTTAATCTTTGATTTTTGCTGCACATTGTAATGCTGTAAGTAGGTGTGGTTTTCTGGTGTAATTAGACAGGTGTTCCTGTGAAAGTGACAGTAGAAAGTGCTTCAACATTTGATACTGAAGACACAGAAGATTTAGATGATGTCATCCACTATCCTGATCTGGCAAAATCAATTGATAAGATTAATGTAACAGAGTATCAACAATTAGAGGTAAGAAGCATGTTCTGTGCCTTAGACTCCATAAAGGCAAGTTATATCGATTAAACCATGTTTTAGTCAGAAAATTGTTGTTAAGCAAATAAGTAGCCATGGAGCAGGATTTCAGAATAGCTCTTAATTATCCTGCATTATGTCACACAGGGTTTCATTTCAGAAGATGTGTGTCAAATATGCACTGGATGTTCGATTTCTTAATATTATAATACGGATACATACGCTATAAGCATATTGTCAAATCAGTGCCTTAATAAGAAAGAACTTAATGTAGTACACACAACTGCAATATATGTAATTTCTCTGTTCCAGTCTTGAACCATAGTTTGCAAATCTTTCGATCAGTGTTATTGCTTGTTGTATTTTCTTCCAAGTATTTCCTTTATAAAAGTAATTTAATGTTATTTCTGTTGTATTTTTTTCCAAGTATTTCTTTCATAAAAGTATTTTAATGTTATTTCAAAGAGCTAAAATATGGTAATGATTATTGTGTAAAAATAATTACAAAAATAGCTGAAAGAGTGTTAGAGCTTCATTTTATAATTGAGTTTAGGGTGGCTTAGAGCAAAAGGACTGTACAAATACTGCAATACTACTAGACTTTTTTGGGGATTTTTTTATTTGTTTGTTTGGTTGGTTTGTTTGTTTTTTAAACCTATGTAAATTTTTTCTTTAGACCTACCTTTTTTCTCTCTAGAACTTTTGTTCAGGAAGGTTTCAAGGTTTTCACATGTTGCTGAGACTTAAAGTTGTATAGGGACTTTCTTTGGGGGTGAGTTCGTTACTGTTCATGTGTAATTTATCAACATTGTGCTGTGTTGGTGGCTTCAACACTTAATCAAAAGCATTGTGTATGGAATCATAGAATTCCATGTCGTGTGAAAATTGCTCAAAAAAGTTCTATGTAGGAAGTACTGTGCTTTCAGGAAACAGTTCATGTATTTATTCTTGGTGTTTGGAGAGGGAGGAATATTATCTTCAGGACACAGGGCAGAAGCAGACATAACTTGTGCTTTGGGGAAGGGTTGTCATACTGACCTGTGACATCAGTGTTACCTGTACAGCAACTGTAAGGAAGGGATAATTTGTGATTAATTTGGGCTACCTTGGAGGTAAAACTACCAATTTTAGCAGCCTACCCCAAAATTGATTTTAAATTTTCTGTGCTTGTAAAACTCCAGATTTTCCTGACTTTCTGAATTTGAAAACCAAAATACTTTTTTATGCCATGGTTGCATATCAGATGCACTGTTTAAGCAGTCTGCAGCTGTTCCTGTGCCTCACCTATCCTTGTTATTATATTGACACAAAGCAGGTTTCACATTATGGCAGAACCGAACTACCAGCTTGTCACCATTGAATGGGGATGTCTATTTCCTCTTTGTGTCTGAGTGCTTTTTCATTTCTTGCTCCAGTCTTTTCCTCTTGTGTCTTTTTTCACGTTTTTCTAAGTTGATTCAACTTGCTGATATGGAGAAAACCCATGTAGTTGAACAAGGAGAAGTGCAAAGTCCTGCACCAGGGAAGAACAACCTCAAGCACCACTATCTGCTGAGGGCAGATCATCTGGAAAACAGTGCTGCAAAAAAAGGCCCTGGGGGCTCTGGTGGACACCAAAGTTGAACGTGAGCCACCAGTGTACCATTGCAGCAAAGGAGGGGAATAGCATGCTGGACTCCATTAGGAGGAATGTTATCAGCAGGCTGAGGGAGGCGATCCTTCCTCTGTGCTTGTGAGGCCACAGCTAGAATACTGTGTCCAACTCTGGACTCTACAGTACAAGAGAAATGTGGGCAGACTGAAGAGAGTCCAACAAAGAGCCACAAGCATGGTTAAGGGACTGGAGCACCTCTCCTGTGAGGAAAGGCTGAGAGAGCTGGGACCGTTCAGCCTGAAGGAGAGAAGGCCTGGGAAGGGATAAATACCCAAAGAAGAGGGTGCAAATAGGATGGAGACCATCTCTTTTCTCTTGTGCCCAGAGACAGGAAGTTACACAATGGGCAGAAGCTGAAACATAGGAGTTTCATTCTGAACATCAGGAAACACTTTCACTGTAAGATGAACTGAACACTGGCACGGGCTGCACAGGGCAGCGGTGGCGTCTCCCCTTAAAAGATATTAAACAACATCTGAACATCTTGTTGTAAGTGGCCCTGCTTGAGCAGAGGGTTGTACCAGATGACTTCCAGAGATCCCTTCCAGCCTCAACCAGTCTGTGATATTTTTCCTGGATAGCATTCAGCTATCTTAACGACTCACATTAGTTTATGTGACTCGGGGTGTTTCAGAACCCCAGAGTATGGTAAGTGGCAGAAGTCTGTGGCTCATAAGGCAAGAGAGGAAGTGGAGGACTCTTTTATCTGTATTAATTTGGCTTAGGTACTGTCATTAAACAGCTTTTAATGCCCAGCAGCTTCAGGGAGGAACTTACCTAACTGAAAAGTAATCCACTTTACTGAGAGCAGGCCTCTCAGTAAAGTGAGACAACAGCTGTGCTAGAACAATGATGGGAATGCAGAATTGGAATAAACAGTAAGAGATGGGAACTCCTTAAACTCCCACTTTGCCATGAAAGCTCTCCAGACATTTTATGATGTGACTAAATGACCAGACTTTCACTTTAGTATGCAAGTCCATGAGAACTTCTCTGAATCCTTCTGCCCAGAAAGGGGCTTTAAGCATGGTACTTAGTGAAACAAGTAGAACTTAGTTGTGTTTTCTGTAAAAGAAAAAAATGTCTTGGGTAATGAAAGGCTTTATTTCTGCTTAAATGAAAAATAAGAACTGACAGATACTAATTCCTTCCACTAGAGGGAATCGAATGTCAGAGTGGGTTCTGATGAAGAATGTACTTGAGGTAACTCCCATATTTTTAAATTTTAACTAATGATTTAAATGGTGAACTTCACCCTTAGTCTAGTTACCAGGTCAGCTCTTTCCACATATTACTACTTTGTGCATTACAAAGAAGTAGAGATTGCAGTACAACTTTTTTTAAAATAAGGACAGCAATGTATTCAAGGAGAAAAACATGGCTAATTAGTTCCTAAATTTTTTAAAATATATTTTAATTTTTTAACTTCAGTTTTATACCTCTGTCTAGTGTTGAATAGTCATACTGCATACAGTAATTCTGAGGGCTATATATATTTTTGGTATGCGATTTTATCTTAAAGGCTGTCAGTGCTGTCTTTCTGGGCTATACTTCTTGAAGACTTAGTCTTGTAGTTTGGATATACATTTAGCTCTCTCTGATGCTTTTTAAATTTTTTTTTCAGCAAAAAGACTAGGGCATTGTATCAACTAGTGAATTTCTTAAAAGCAAATGAAAGAATAAAGTGTGCATATACTTGTAATTTAATGTTGACAAATATGTTTACACATATTGTAAGGTGTAAGGCATCTTCCTTTAAATGCTAACTTTGATACTGCTTATGAGGAGATGCAGCTGCAGCATTCAGTTTGTTTTTGAAGTCAGTCCATAACCATCCAGAGGGGTCGCAGCTGACTGGAAGCTGGCAAATGTTGTCCCGATTTTCAAGAAGGGCAAGTAGGATGATGGAAGCTACAGGCCTGTCAGTCTCACTTCAGTGCTTGGTAAAGTTATGGAGAAGATTATTCTGGGAAATACTGAGGAACACCTGAAGGAGAACACAGTCATTGGTCAGTCATTGGTCACAGCCAGCACAGCTTCATGAGAGGAAAGTCCTGCTTATCCAACCTGATTTCTTCTTATGTAATCCACCTAAGTTGATTAAGGGAAGCCAGTTAATGTAATCTTTTTGGATTTCAGCTCCATCTTGGGCCCTGTGCTCTTCATCATCTTCATAAATGACTTGGACGCAGGACTGGAAGGGATGCTAAGCAAGTTTGCAGATGACAAAACACTCAGAGGAGCTGTTGACTCCCTGGAAGGCAGGGAGGCCCTGCAGAGAGACCTCAACAAATTAGAGGACTGGGCAATCACCAAGCAGATGAAGTTCAACAAGGGGAAGTGCTGGATTCTGCACCTGGGATGGAGCAACCCTGGACATCTGTATAGACTGGGGAATGAGGTGCTGAAAAGCAGTGCTGTGGAAAGGGACCTGGTGGTCCTGGTTGATGGCAAGTTGAATGAGTCAGCAGTGCCCTGGCAGCCAAGAGGGCCAACCATGTCCTGGGAGGCATCAGGCAAAGCATCACCAACTGGTCGAGGGAGGGGATTGTTCGACTCTGCTCTGCGCTGGGGTGGCCTCACCTTGAACACTGTGTGCAGTTTTGGGCACCACAATATAAGAAAGATATTAAGCTCTTAGAGAGTGTCCAAAGGAGGGCAATGAAGATGGTGAAGGACCTTGAGGGGAAGCTGTGTGAGGAGTGGCTGAGGTCACTTGGGGTGTTCAGCCTGGAGAAGAGGAGACTGAGGGAGACCTCATTGCAGTCACAACTTCCTCGTGAGGGGAAGAGGAGCGGGAGGCGCTGATCTCTCCTCTATGGTCATTGGTCCTGAGGGAATGGCCTGAAATGGTGTCAAGGGAGGTTTGGGTCAGATATTAGAAAGAGGTTCTTCACCCAGGGAGTGGTTGGGCACTGGAACAGGCTCCCCACAGAAGTGGTCACAGCACAAAGCCTGACAGAGTTCAAGAAGCATTTGGATGATACTCTCAGGCACACTGTATGACTCTTGGGGATATTCCTGTGCCAGGCCAGGACTTGATGATCCTTGTGGGTCCCTTCCAATTCAGCATGTTCTGTGATTCTCTGATTCTGTGATCAAATATTGTGTACATTTAAAGTGTGATAAATCAAGTTTAAAAAAAACAAGAAAAACTCCACATTTCTGTTTAAAACATTGTTGTAATTTAACTACTTTCTAAGCCATTGTCCTTTGACATTACGAACCACCAATTTGAGGAAAAAGGTCATTGCTGTCACCTTTAAAATTATCTAAAATATGTCCACAACAAAAATACTATAAAACTAAAGTTTCTAAAAAACACCTTAAGAAAAGTACACAGATCAGTGTTTACAGAGCCATTGTGCTGTCTACTGTCTTATACGGATCTGAATGATGGGTCATCTACTGCCGCCACCTGCGACTCCTAGAACGCTTCCGTCAACACTGTCTCCGTACAGTCCTAAACATCCACTGGTCAGATTATGTGACCAATACATCTGTTCTTGAACAAGCAGCAGTCACAAGTATTGAGGCCATGTTGATGAGAACACAGCTGCGTTGGGCAGGACACGTCTCCAGGATGAAGGACCACCGCCTCCCTAAGATCGTGCTTTACGGTGAACTTGCCACCGGCTGCTGCAAGAGAGGAGCCCCGAAGAGAAGATACAAGGACTCCCTGAAACAACATCTCATCCTTGGCCATATTGATCACCATAACTGGTCTACTCTGGCCTCCAATCGGGAGGCCTGGAGACACACCATCTATAACGCTGCTGATGCTTTTGAGAACGCACGCAGGATCACTCTTGAGGAGAAAAGACAACGCAGAAAGAATTGTGCCTTGCAGAATATACCACCTAAGGAGTCTTTCTGCTGTGCCTTTTGCAACCTGACGTGTCTATCTCATATTGGCCTTTTTAGTCACCAACACGCTTGTATCAAACGTGGGTAGAGCCCTTCCCAAATCTTCGTTCACAAAGCCTAGCCATGATGATGACAGTTTCTAGAGTTCCTTGCCAAAAACCCCCTACATCTCAGAAACTTTAAAATACATACGTATATGTACGCACACACGTTATAAATGGAAATGTAAGCATTCTTCAGGTCTGTGGTAGCTATGACTGGTCTTCAAAGCTAGGGTATGGGATTCCAAGTTACATGTCAAGTTGTGAATGCAGAAAATTATGGTCACTATTTCCTGTCTGTGTGTCTGTAAGAGACATTACTTCCACATGTTCTAACGTTGATTGCAGTAAGACTGTGGTACTTTTGGATGGTTCTCCTTAGAGAATTGCCCCCAACTCTATGCCCGCGGGTTAGATACTGACTTCTACAGGTGATGCTCATGTGTTCTGATGATAAAGAGAAGACTAGCTTTCTAGTTCCAGGGTTAGCTTGGTTGATGCTACTCTAGGGAGCATAGGAGTGGGCTTCACTGGGCAGTAGTGACAGGCTCATAACCATCACTTAAGAGTGGTTGTCACTGTGAGGCCTGTATCTAGATTATTCTAAAACCTGCATCTTTGAATCAGATGCAAAAGTCCCTTGCATCTTTTAAGACCTGTGAGGACCTCTTTGTATTTGGAGAAGGATTAGTTTTACTACACATTCTGTTTCACACCAGTCTTCTCAGATGATTGCCTAAACTTTTATAGGAAACAAAGGATTTCAGTACTATTCGGATCTCTGCTTCCCTGTAGAACTGGTTGATAAAGTGTGTATAAAAAGCTGTGTCTTTTTACATATAGGTGCTCGTGTATCAAGTGTGTAGAGAAATGAAGTTTTGTATACTGTTATTTCATATATTCTACCCTCTGAAAAACAGATTAGCTTGATAGTTTTAACAGTTTTCACCTTTCAAACCAGAAGGCTCTGTTAAGGTGTGCAAGAACAAAAATTCTGATTTGTTCTTCCATGTCAGATGCTGTAATCAAAGATGATAATGCTCTGCTGGGATACAAGAAAATGTAGTATTGCTTATCAAATTCTGACTACTGTTACTGAAACTGAGATTCACTACTTAAAACTAATAGTTAAAATACACATGTAGGCATCTCATGAATAAGAATAGAATATGCTTATTAGATGTTTGGCTGTGTTCTTGTTAATTCAACACTAAACTTGGGATTGTGAAAATCTTACTTTTCTACTGAAGAAATAAGTGAAATCAGTTGTAAAGAGTACAGTTCTTAAGGCTCAGAATTTTGTATTCTTATTGCTATAAGAAGGAATAAAATCCTGGATAAAGACTACAGGCTGATAATCTAGAGACTTGTGCTGCAATTTCATGTTATCTGTTGCAATATTACAAATCTGTTGAGCAGATTTCTTCTTAATTTTTTCTTAATTTTTTGCATCCTAGAGTTATGTACTGGTAGACATCTGTCATGTATTTTCATAGCAGATAAGTTTTTGTTTGGAATGCCATGTGCTAGTTGTTAATTGGACGTGCTGAATTTTTGTATATTGCATGTTAATCTGACATTTTGAGGTAAATTTCTTGATCGTTTATCTGTGTTTGATAGTTGGAGCTGGAAGAATGCATGTTAAAACTAAAGGAAGAACAAAGAGCTAGAGAGAAGGCTGAGGAACGAGTAACAGAGGTAAGATACGTAACTGTTAATGATCTTTAAAGGAGGCACTGATCAAAGTATCCATGTGCTTAATTAGGAGTAATTATCTATGACCACTAATATGGTGGCTTCCAGAGTTTCAGTTCAAAGTCGCGTGGATCATTTACTAGTCTAAGGGCAATGATGAAATCTCTGTTTATTAATCTCCTGATCCTGTTCCAGAGCCTTGAACTCCAGATCAAGCTACTCTTTCAATGGGTTTTGTTCATTTGCTGTTTTATGATCTGGGGCATCCTGATACTTATTTTTCTTGAGAAAGTGATTAAATCTGTTTGCAGTTTGCACACATGGATGGTTCTTTGTCTCCCAACTCACTTATCATGACTTGTGCTGAGAACCTCTTTGTTGCAATTTGATATGGTTTGAAGCTGGCTCCCTGCCAAGTCTCCAAACCTTACCACAAGAAGTCCGTCCCCCCCCAAACCAAGGGAGAAGAGGGAAAAAAAAACCAAGAGAACCGAAACGAGAGAGAGGCAGCTAAAGCAATATATATATAAATATATTTACACTTATATTGCAATTTATATACAATTGAAATATATATACAATTTCAAAAGGAAAAGGGAAGGGGGAAGGGAAATAAGGAACACAAACAAAATAAAATATACACGATCAATAGCCCAAGATCTAGCAACTAAAAGAATTAGCAAAGACTATCTTACTACCCTCCTTGGGGCAACAGAAAGTCACGCTGGAACGATCGCCGGCAACCCCTGTCTCCCAAGGTCGGCAAGGCTTCACCAGGCCTCACTCTCCAACCCGACAGACTCAACAAGCTGCCGGAAGGAAAGAGAGGGCAAAGGCCTCTCCTCCTTTCTTCTTATACCGGGTAAATCTGGGCACTTCCTTGGTTACAAACCGGTCACCAAGGAAGGGCTAGACTAAACTACCACACAATTATTGTTTATTTTGGCTTATTCTGTACCTTTGATTTTTAAGCTTTGTTTCCACAGGCAAAAACCATATTGGATGCTCATCTGCGTGCCAGTTGTTGCGAAGTGCAGCTTAGTTTTACAAAACTGAACAACTTATCACAGTTAAATTGTGAAGTCTTCTTTCTCCTGTCTGCTGTTGCTGACCTAAAAATATTCTTTTCCATCAATAAGCAGAATTTCTTGTAGTAGAGTTGCATGTAAGATAGTGTAAACAAATGGCTTTAGTTCTTAGATGTGAGTGGAGGGGACTGAAAGTGATGATACCTGTTGAAATTTGAGCACCAAATGGTACCCCACAGTACAGGGAGCAGATATCCACAAAGGCCTGCACTCCACAAGGTTCATTGTAGAGATCTTGTGCAATCATCCACATCCTCCTGTAATGTGATTTGCACCAGTGGGCTCTTCTGGGTATCTGTTGTTTGAATACTTAAATGCTTTTTAGGCTAAACACCCCCTGCAAGAAATCTTTCTCTGTCATCCTAGACTGGTTGGATGTAGCACCTTGCTTCAAGAGAGCAAATAAACCAACTAGGAGTAATCTTTAAAATTGTTCATTTTGATGCTCATTTAACATCTGCAGCATACTACAGAATGTATAAATTTTTTGCCCTCTCATAATAAATGAAAGAAGGAAAGCCTGTGGTAGCATTTGATTGCATAGCTGTAAATCTTAAATGAGTGTCTGAGTTAATGCTTCCCTCAAACACAAAACCTTGTATATCCTGCAGTTATCATTTAACTTTTAGTCTGTCATCAATTTGATTAATATTTAGTGTGGAGAAAAATTGAATCATCCTTAACTTTCAATTTTCAGATGCACAGTGCAGGGAAGACTTAACAATAGTATGCATTGCCTCTGATACAGAGGGGTGAATACAAGGAGAACATTGGGCTTCGTTATGTTTTTTTTTACTAGTAAAAAAAATTCTTTGGTGTTAATGTATCATATAATATATTCACTACTATATTGAAAGCTAATTTTTTTCTGCTCTGTAACATTCTGTACATGCTGAAGACAGTCCTGAGCCAGCAGTTTTGAGTGCCTGCAGCAATATCACTATGGTAACATAGAATTACAGCTGTGGATAAACAGATCTGCACAGAGCTCAATATAACAGTGCCTGGAATGTGTCTGGTACAGCAAACTCTGTATCTGTTACATCAGTTACTATAGGTATTTTACTTTGTGATGCTACTCTTTAGACTCGCAAAGGTGAGGTTTGATATTTTTGGGTTTTTTAACTTAAAATGAAAAAAATTTCTTTTTTTCCCCCCCACTCCACATAGCTGGAAATTGAAAATGCAAGATTAAGGAATCTAAATATCTCCCTATCCGAGGTTCTTCATGCACAGTCAGTAACCAGCACGATTTTGGAAGATGAAGGTGTTCTAGGCAGCATTGAGAACTCTTTTCAAAAGTTTCATGCTTTTTTAGACCTCCTTAAAGATGCTGGGTAGGTTGTCACTTTACTCAAGTCTTCCTGTTTCTCCTTAGATCTTTTTCCGAAATTATTTTCACAATGAAGTATTCTGCCTTCTACCCCCCAGATTTATAGAACTGTAATTCCAAAGAGCAAAGGAAAATAAATTAGCCGTGTACCTACTGTTTAGTCTTTTCCTAGTGGGAAGAACGTGATCCAAGCACAGTTCATGTATCTGTCCTTGGAAAAGGCTTTCAAGAAGCCATTCTGAAAGAGCAGAAAGCTTCTATTCTAACATGTTTCCAAGTCTTTATTGAATCACATGTGGCTCTTAGCATTCCCATGAGATGAAAGGCTCAAAATGCAGTTGAATTGGCTTCAGAAAGTATCCTATTGCCTTGTGCTCTCCATTTTCTAATTGAAGTACGGAAATCTAGATGAATGAATCTAGTCTCTATTTAAATTCTGGGTTATTTATTATTACTTGAATTATTTTAGAGAGTATTGATTAAAGTTTGTCTTACCACTGTACCTGCAGTTTCTCATAGGGTGGTTCATCCTTCCCATTTGTCAAAGAATTTCAGCTTAAACCTGATTTGTAAAGCTTATGTAGTGAGGCATGGCAATCCCATCCACAAGAATAAAGGAATGCTATGAATATATATTGTAGTCTACTCTGCATATTCAGAGAAGATCAAAAAAGATATTATTTGCCTCCCACTTCCAAACTGTAATGATGTAACTCAGAACAAGTAACAATGGCCTCAAGTTGTCCCAGGTTTAGACTGGATATTAAGAAAAACTTCTTCACTGAAAGGATGGTCAGACACTGGAACAGACTGCCCAGGGACGTAGTGGAATCACCATTTCTGGAAGTGTTCAGAAAATATCTAGAAACTAAACATCTAAAACTTTTTTTAGTGATGGATCTGGCAGTGTTAGATTAACGGCTGGACTTGATGATATTGGAGGTGTTTTTCAATCTTAATGATTCCATGATTCTATGATTCTAATTTGCTGTAAAGTTCACCCCAAGGCTGTGTTCTGATTTTGTGACAATTAGTTTGCAGAGCTGGCATTACTTCAAGAATTAATTCAAAACTTTTGAGGAAAGGACAAAGGCATATTCACTACATGAAAAATATTTTACTATACAGGCCCTATTCGTAGTACTAGGGAGCTACTCTGGAAGTTACAGAATCCTAATCACAGAGAGTGTTCTTCTCATAAGCTTCCGTATATCATATCCTGTGCTATCAACTGATGGCTGCAACTTCTCGCTTCTTACTGAGGCTTAAAACACACCAACTTGTAAACTGGCAAGTGACACATTACTGTATTTGTGAAGCATGTCATGGCATTCATTGTGTATTATGCTAGATTGGAGTTGTGCGCCAGTCTTCTGCTTGAATGACAGAGTTTTGATCTTTGTTCTGTCTGACATGGAATCTGCCTGTCAGCATCCTGTTCTGAGTGCAGTGCTAACTAGGAGAAATTAATTTTCAGCCTCATAACACTTGAGTTTTGAACCTGCAGGCTAATTTGTGCAAAGATAAGAAAATACCTCTAGCTACTTGGTTTCATCTTGGTTAAGATATTGGGCTTCTCATAAAATAGCAGAAAACTATCTTCAAAGCTTTAAACAGATTCTACTTCTTTTTCTGCTTTTGATTGTTTAGGTCTTTCAAAGGCTAAGAATTGTTTGTGTCATTTTCTACTGAACTTTATTTTACAGACTTGGACAACTTGCTGTATTAGCTGGGATAGACCAGTCAGATTTTGGCCTTTTGGGGCATCCGCAAATGAATTCTACTCTCAGTAAGCCTGCTAACATGGTAAAGGAGAAGTCTTTTGAAGAAGAAAGACAGGAACATAACCAGAACAGCAAAGTAAGTCTATAGACAGAATGCTAGAGACAAGTTTAATTGATACTTTTTAATGTACTTTCAAGCTGTTATTGCCCTCTGATTCATGAAGTATTACTTCAGCCTTTAACTGCAGCTGCATTTATACAGATGGTAATATTTCAGTGAGTAATGTAAGCTTTTAAAGTGTTTGCCATTTGGAACATAAAACATAGTATTTTGTAATGTATTAAAGTATTGGTGGTAATTCTGTTGTTTCTTACTTTGAAATAAGAAGTTCCAATAGTGGTATACATTCATTAAAAATAAAAAATACCATGACTACATTTTTTAGAAACATTTAGTAATGATATATAGTGGTTTTAAAAACCGAGTCTCATAGTAGAGACTAGTACAATGTGCCTGCTGAAAATCACAAATTATCTTCTAAGTAATTACAATGTATATATGTCTAGTCCTGATGGATTTCTGTATGGCCATGACATGAATTTGAGGCAATTACAAATTTTCAGTATTTGCAGATAGTTCATAAGGTTTTCATTTCTACTCTCTGTCAATTAGTAGAAAATCCGGTGGATTTTTCAAAGGAGATACTCAAGTTCCTGTAATAAAACAAACAAAAAAACCTAAACCCAAAACAAGCAAACAAAATCAAACCCAAAAGAACAACAAAAATAGCCCAGGCTTAAGTTTTTAAGGCTATTAAAAATGAAGATACTGGCAGACTATAGCCTTGTCCAAGTTTAATAAAACTGCCATATCTGAGAATCACTCTGCATTCCAGTGTGTTCCTTTAACTGTCCTGCATTCCTCAAGAACATCATGAGCCTCTAAAATATGTTAAAAATTTTGGGCTTAAAAAAAAAAAAGAAAAGTTCTAAAAGTGTGGAAAACAATTTCCAGTTTGAAGACTCTTGTTCTTATCTCCTAGTACTGGTGATTAGTTTAGATTCTTGTAGTGGTGAGTTATTGTGGGATAGACTTTTGGGACTATACCTTTGTGAACTGCAAGCAAACATAATGAATTGCAGGTATTTTGGAATGATAGACATGATTAGGCTTTGGCTGCTTCCGTGTAACTGACACAGCTTTGTAGTACAGATTTAAAGCTAGATAGGAAACTGTAATGTGTCTACTCTGTGTATATATGGCAGTTGCAATACTGGCTTTTCTCCTCTCTGTTTGCATCAGTATCTTCATTGGAATCTCTCATTTCAGAACAGAATAGGGGACATCCAGCTGTCTCTTCCTGGTATGTTTCAATCCCAGATGGTTATGAATAATGCCTTTTCTGCACTTAGAGAAATACAAGAACTTCAGACTGCTGGACAGCAGTACCAGCTAGGCTCATGGAAGGAAACTGAAGCTCAAAGAATTGACCAAAATAAAGAGGATAAGCCTCGCAGTAGTACACCAATATTCTCTGAGAGGAGAGTCAAACAAAATGAACAAGCAAAAGGTCACTCAGCAAGGCAGTTGCATTCATTTGCTGATTCCAGTGTACATATTAAAAGTGATGACAGCAGAGTATCCAGTGGTATGTCTGTCGAAAAAAGCAAAAATTCTTCCTCTAAGAAATACATCCCTAGAGCAAATGAAACGGCAGCTTCAGCTACTGGAGCGAGAGGAAACCAAAGTACACTACAAGCAGTAAACAGCTCTGGAAGTGACACTTTAGGATCTGGTTCTGAAATACAAGAAAGTATACAAAGTGTTACCAGCATTTGAAATGGTTCTAAAATGTTTGGACTGTTCTTTACACTTGGAATATTAATAATAGATTTTGGATGTTTCAGTATAGTTTGTGAATTTTTTGTAAGGTAATGAAGACTTTGTGACTTTTTAAAACATTGCATGTTGTTTCATGTTTGCATTCCTTGTCATGAGATTTTGAATTTTGGAAACACGTGATAACACTTAAAATGGTACCTGTCAGTTTGTACTATATACAGAGGACTCCTGGTATGTGGATTTCATTACCTACATTGATCTTGGTGTAGAGTGTAAACTGTTTTGAGCCAATAAAGTTAATTTGACTGCAGGTTTTTTTCAGTGTTTATTTCAGTGTATTCCAAGGTAGGGCAAAAATGGTTTTGGGGGAAACATCAATTCCTGCCTAACAGTGTGTGGGGTATGACATTTCCAAAAGTAGTGGAAGTTTCAGATTCAAAAATGAGCCCAGAAACATCTCTGCAAGAAATATAACCATCTTATTGTATACCAGTCATACCAGTTATTAGTATGATGCAGATTATAGAGTAACACACACTGGAAGGGACCTTTGGAGGATGTCTAGTCCAGCTCAGTTAGCTTGCTCTCAGGACCTAGAGAAATGTGAGAAAATAAAACTAAAAGAATATCATTGTTCTAAAACTCCTGAGATTTCCCCCCCAGCTTCTTATTTCAGTCCCTGTGCATAGGCAGCTGATTTGCAGCTTCTGAACTAGAAGATATTTTTCACATACAGGAATTAGGCAGGATGGTTTAGGCTGAACTGGGGGAAAAAATATTGTATAACTTTCTTTTTATTCTGAGATCTGTCATGTGAGTTCTGGAACACAGAAGATCTGTAGAAATTCGTGACTCCTGTTGCTTTATAATTATGAAAAAACTCATGAATCCTCAAATGGAAGTTTTCTACAGAGCAAATAGCACAAGTTTACCTTAACCATTGCAATATTGCACAAGTAATTGCACAATGAAAGTATGTTCTTTGTACAGACTTTGTCACTTCAGAATATTAGAAGGTAATACGTTAATCTGTGTTATTTTTCACATACTTTCCCAACTGTTTTTCTAATTCTTCAGTCATCCTTGGCTTGTGATTTTGGTTTGATTGAACAATTACATGCAATCTGTATATTCAGCATTAAAATGCTATCTGTTCCTTTTTTTAAAATTTAAAAGTCTAAAGCTAATCCCTGAGAAATACTGGGTAAAATTATAAATTCAAAAGTGTTTGGATTTGTGAGGTTACCAATTAGGAATCTGTTATTTGTCCTTAAAAACATCAAAAAGAACAGTTTATTTATTGAAGGCCTATAAGCAGGTGATATAAAATACCTTTTATGTTAAGTACTTAATTTTATATATTCTCTTTGACAATATGAATTATGTAAAAAATAATAATTTAAAACAAAAATTGATCAGGCAGTTTACAATTGCGATAGGCATGTTTTTTTCCAGTGGACTAATACTTAATCTTTTTTTTTCTGTAAAATCAGAAACATGAAGGATTCTTCATCTCATCACTGGTGCTGTGGTATAGCACTCTTCCTGTAAGAATCTGTAGTGCCTACTTTACATATAGTTCCGTGTTGGATCTGAAGTCAGTAGAGACAATGGATTGAAGTCACCCAGAGGAGAAGTATTTTTTTTAAGGCTATCATGAATATTTGAGAAGTTTCAAGGGTTTTGCTTACAATTTAAAAATGCATTTACAAAAAATATTTTATACATATAAGTAATTATTTTGTATGTATATTTAACAATACTTTAATATAAAGTAAAATATTTTTGTTTATTATGAGTTCTCATATAAACTGTTTCATCCTTTTGCTGTTAGTTAATATTTTACATATGTGTTCTTGTCTGACATAAAAGCCTGAAATCAGTGGGCCATCTATTTGCTAGAGAACATGTTACTGTTTATTCATAAAACTCAATATTTTTTTCTCTCTTCATTTAGGCTTCCGAAGAACTACTTTTCACAGTTCAGAACTGCGATCTCTGGCAAACAAATTAACCTCAAACCCCTGTATTCAGGTTTCAGCAAAATTTGCTTGTCTCACTAGTTTGCTGGACGAGACATTGCAGCTGCCTCCAGAAACAGTTGCCAGGTTGCTATGTAGTCAGTATTATTTGTCTTTAGTAATGACGTCAGTTTGTCAGGTATAGTACCAGACAGAGAACTTGTGTACACTTGCTCTCCTTGAGTGAGCTGATCCTTTTCCAGCAGTAGTCAGTCAATGCTGTCCAGCATAACATGAAGTCACCATGAGCCTAATAAAAGTTGACTGAAAACTCTGAAACTTTATTTACACTTTTTCTGTGGTTTTTTGTGGTTTTTTTTTTAAATCTGTCTTGTTTTTCCAGTTATGCAACATAATAAATACAGCTCTCTCTGCTTCTGTATTAATTATGCAAATTCATGTTTATCCCCAGGGATTTGTGGCAATGGAAGGGTCAAATTCTCTGTCAACTCGTAGAAGCCAGAAGCATTCCTGGAAGTCATGGGTTTGAAAGCCTCTATTCATAATAGGTGACTATGAATATTGATATGATGAATTCATGGGTTTTGATGTAATAAAAACATTAAATCATAATTGCTGATAGCAAAATATTAAAATAGGAGAAATCTCAATTCAATAGAAACAAAACTCTTATGTGACCTGTAGTGTTTCTCTTCATTCTTTCCAACTGCAAAAGCATAATAATCCCTTCCCCAAAGCAAAAATTTCTGGTTTCTACATTCTTATCAATTTTCTATACTTCCCATCAATGCATTATGTGAACTTTTCTAAAGCTCTGCATGGCAAAGCTTCCAGCACTGTTGTCCTCTGATCTCATAGGAGCTGCTATTTTTGACCCTTCTGGTCGGGATGGGACTTTGGTGAGGTGAAAACTACAATACCTGGTATTTACTCCCAGTGCTCTGAGCTGATACCAGCACCGGCTTGCCTAGTTTCTGTTTTTGTGGAAAGAATTTCACCCAAAATATGAGAACATTTGGATACTGTAAAACTACCTCTTTAAAGATGAATCACAGAACTGGTCAGTATGGAAGGAACCACAGTGGGTCATCTGGTCCAACCTCCCTGCTTGAGCAGAATCATCCTAGAGCCCGTGGCACAGGATTGCATCCAGACAGTTCTGAATGTCTCCAGTGAGAGATTCCACAGCCTCTTTGGGCATCATTGTGGATCGCTGTTTGTAATTTCTCACATCTTCATGCAGATTGCTTTTGGAAGAAGTGGCCCAACCCTGCAGCAGCAACCGCGTGGGGAAAAGCACAAGTAAAGTTACTGTAGGACATGCTGTTACAGTAGTTAATTGGGGGGGGGACGGGACGGGACGTGCGCCTGCCTGCATGTCTACCCACTGACGGCTGCGTTTGCACTGGCACCTCACCAAGGTTCACTAAGATTTCCCAAATGCCAGGGGGGTAGTAAAGGCAGATCAACCCCCGTCACGGCGATCGCAGCACTAGCTGCCCGCTCCCCGCCCGTGGGCTGCGCTCGCCCCGCCCGGTCCCACCGCCTCGCCGCGGCCGCGCTGCCAATGGGCGGCCGGGACAGGGGCGGACCCGCCGGGCTCCCGGCGGCGGGGGTTTATATCGGCCTACCCGCGGGACCGCCTGGGTCGGCGCCGACACCATTCCCGGGACGATGGACGGCGGGAGGCAGGTGGCGAACTTCGGGGCCGGGCCGGCGAAGCTGCCGCGCTCCGTGAGTAAGGGCCGGGCTGGGGCACGGCGCGGGTGGGTGTCCTCGTCCTCACGGCTTCCCTGCGGGCGCCGGCTGCGAAGCAAGGGCTGGGGAAGCTCGAGTAAATAGTCATTAAAAGAGTTAAGCCGCACAGCGCCGAAACCTCCTTTCTTCTCCCTTCCCCACCCAACGCACTGCCATGTTAAGCTCGCAGTTTTGGAAGCGAGCCCTAGTGTGGTTTTTGGGTTGCTCTCTGAGTTGTTTTTTTCCAAACCAGATGGCATCAAGGGCATTTCGTTAGTTTTGGGATGGGATGTAGGTACTCAGTGCAGAAGGGTAGCTGTGTAGAGTATTCCATGAATCGTCTTTATTTAAGGAATTATAGTGAGTGTAGCGTAGACTCAACCTTCTGGAAAGTTGCATCAGCAGCCGTGGATTATCCAGTGGGATATGGAGAGAGGGTGGTTTTTTCCAAATTGCACGCATCTGACTTTCAACTAAAGGTTATGTACTGCGGAATTATTTTTTTTTCTTGGTTCTTTTCTTAGTTCCCTTCGTAGGGGAAGGGAATATATGTGTTATTTCTTTAAAGGTTTTCTTTAGGCAAATGAATTTGCTGCAGAGCAGCTTTCTTGATTTTTTGTTTGTTTGTTCCCTCTCCCTCCACTCTCCTTTCCCCTCTTTCTTTTTTCTCTCGGAAATGTCCTTTGTAGGTGAGGTTGCCAAGAAATTTGTTGTTCTGTCTTGAATCCTTAGTTTCCAAAAAGGGTTCTCAATGGGACTGCTGTAGTACCCAGGTCTCTGACAGACTATTGAAAACTGGATTTAGGGTTTGAGTAGGTCATTGCTGAACTCTATATTATTAATCTGTTTTCTTCTCTTGAAGTGCAGTGTTCTTACGTGGACTACTCTATCATCTCGCTTGTTTCTCTTTGGTTGCGATTCAGGTGAAGTACTCAGACTCACTGAAGCATGGAGGTGGATGGAGCAATTTGTGGCCATTGTAAGACGTGTTGTTGATGTCTGCATGGGCAGATTGTCTGATAAATATTACTAGCAGAACTGGATTTTATCAAGCAGTTCTAGTAGTCTGTGCGCTCCCTTTCATTTTTCCCCCCTTTTCTGGCATGGATAAATTTGATTGTGGAACATGGTATTTAAAACTTCATAATCTCTAAAATAAAAAGCAGCACAGTTGTTTTCAGTTGACCTCTTGCTGACCAGCTGTTACAGTTTACAGACCATGCAGATACCTTGTCAGCAAGGTAGATCTCTTGTTCCTGAACCTGTCCAGAGTGTGCAGTTTCTTGTTAGATCCTGGGGTGCATTCATGTGGCATTTGCTTTGCTGACTGTTCTGCTGGGGGTCCCTCTTCTCCCACTTCCTTTAGGAAAGCCAAGAGTGTTCTGGCTCTCATACGAGAATTTACTGAAATCAGAAGCTGCAGATCCAGTGGCCAGAATCTCATTCTACTTTGTTAATATTCAAGAGCTATTGGAGAAGACAGAAAAAAATGTAAGGCTGAAGCAGAAGATTACTTGGCTAGGACTTATAGGAGTGACCTGTTTTTTTTGGTTGTGTCAAAATTTTGTTTCATTTCTTTCTTAACTTTCAA